AGAATTCAAGCTCTCACTGATGATGATATGACAGTTTACATAAGCGATCCCAAAAATTCTACCAAGAAAATTCTACAACTCATAAACACTTTCAGTAACTTAACAGGATACAAGATTAACTCAAAAAAATCAGTAGCCCTCCTGTACACAGATGATAAAAGGGCTGGGGAAGAAATCAGAGAATCAGCACCCTCACAATAGCCACAAATAGCATAAAATATCTGAGTAACTCTAACCAAACAAGTAGAAGACTTGTATGACAAGCACTTTAAATCTTTGAAGAAAGATATTGAAGAAGACACCAGAAAGTGGAAAGATCTCTCATGCTCTTGGGTAGGCAGAATTAACATAGTAAAAATGGCGATCTTACCAAAATCAATCTACAGATTCAACACAATGCCCAGCAAAATTCTTCAAAGACCTCGAAAGAAGGGTACTCAACTTCATATGAAAAAGCAAAAAACTCAGGATAGCCAAAACAATCCTGTTCAAAAATGAACTCCTGGAGGTATCACAATCTCTGACTTCAAACTCTACTACAGATATACAGTATTGAAAACAGCCTGGTATTGGCATAAGAACAGACAGGAGGACCAATGGAACCAAATAGAAGACCCGAATATTAATTCACACACCTTCGAACACCTGATTTTTGACAAAGAAGCAAAAAATATCAAAATGGAAAAAAGAAAGAATATTTAACAAGTGTTGCTGGCATAACTAGATATCAACATGTAGAAGAATGAAAATAACCCATATCTATCACCATGCACAAAACTCAAGTCCAGTTGGATAAAAGACTTTAACATAAAGCCAGCCACACTGAACCTTATAGAAGTTCACTATATAAGTGGGAAGTACACTTGAAAACAGTGGCACAGGAGACCACTTCCTAAATATAACCCCAGCAGCACAGACACTGAGAGAAACAATTAATAAATGGAACCTCCTGAAACTGAAAAGCTTCTGTAAAGCAAAGGATATGGTCAACAAGACAAAACGACAGACTACAGAATGGATGGTACAGGAGAATTGTCTGTATTCTGTCAAACACTGATTGGCCAGGCAGGAAGTATAAGTAAGAAAACCAGGCAGGAAGTAGAAATGATCCAATGAGAACAGGAGAATTCTGGGAATGAGAAAGTTGATTCTTCCCACTCCTGCCCAGACCACCAAAGCAGCAGGATGTAATCTGTCCCACTGAAAAGGGTACTGAGCCATATGGCAAACATAGATCAGAATAATGGGTTAATATAAGTTACAAGAGCTAATAAGTAGCCTGACCTAATGGGCCAATCAGCTTTATAACTTATAGACATCTCTGTGTGATTTTCTTTTGGGGCTAAACAGCTGTGGGAACCAGGCAGGACAGAAAACCCAAACAAGCAGGAACTCCTCATGTTACAAATGGATACAGATCTTCACTAACCCCACATCAGACAGAGGTCTGATCTCCAAAATATACAAAGAACTCAAGAAATTGGTCATCAAAATAACACATAATCTAATAAAAAAAAAATGGAGTACAGACCTAAACAGAGAACTCTCAACAGAGGAATCTAAAATGGCTGAAAGACACTTAAGGAAATGTTCGACATCCTTAGTCATCAGGAAAAATGCAAATCAAAACAACTCTGAGATTCCATCTTACACCTGTAAGAATGGCCAAGGTCAAAAACACTGAAGACAACTTATGCTGGAGAGGTTGTGGGGAAAGGGGAACACTTCTGCATTGCTGGTGGGAATGCAAGCTGGTATAACCCCTTTGGATGTCAGTGTGGCGATTACTCAGAAAATTAGGAAACAACCTTCCTCAAGACCCAGTAATACCATTTTTGGGTATAAATTCAAAGGGTGCTTAATCATGCCACAAGGACATGTACTGAACTATGTTCATAGCAGCTTTGTTTGTCATAGCCAGAACCAGGAAACAACCTAAATGCCCCTTGATCAAAGAATGGATAAGAAAAATGTGGTACATTTACACAATGGAGTACTACACAGCAGACAAAAAGACATCTTTAATTTTGCAGGCAAATGGATGGAGCTAGAAAACATTATTTTGAGTGAGGTAACTCAGACACAGAAAGACAATTATCACATGTACTCATTCAAAGGTGGTTTTTAAACATAAAGCAAAGAAAGGCAACCTACAAACCACAATCCCAGAGAACTTAGACAACAATGAGGACACTAAGAGAGGCTAAAGATCTCCTGAGTAAATTGGGAGCGTGGGGACTTTGGGGAAGGGTTGAAGCGGGAGGGGAGAAGGAGAAAGGAGAGCAGAGAAAAGTGTAGAACTCAATAAAAATCAGTTAAAAAAACCAAGTCCTTAGAGAGCACAAATAATGATTCCATGCTCTTCTGTCTCATCCACTCCTGATTCTTCTACAGGAAACATGCGAGTCTCTAGGCATTAAACACAGAGCTCAGGAGTTGTATAAGAATAGCTGGAGGCTTTCATCCTTACCTCCAATGGCCTTTCTCCCTCAACTGATTTGATATTGCTCTCAAAAGTCACCGGGACCTTCCAGGCAAGGGATCTGCCTAGCTTCTATAATGACTCCCATTTTAAATAGTGCTTGGCTTGAGCCCATATCAGGAGCATCTTTAACAAGTCATAGGAGAGCACAAATGTGGATCCCACCCTCTTCAGTCTCATCCACTCCTGGTTCTTCTACAGGAAACATCAGGGTCCCTGGGCCTTAACACAGGGCTCAGAGTTTGTCTAAGAATAGATGGATGCTTTGATCCTTGATTTCAACCAAAATAATTACAAATTCACTCCATTTTTGGCACCACAATTTAACTCTTCCTAGCAAGGAGATCAATCACTTCACATTACAATGTATTAGAGCTCCATAAGGTCACTCGATGGCTTCACTTCAAAGAATCAGTTAATGGGACAAATGGATCAAAGACCTCAACATAAAGCCAACCACTGAACGTCACAGAAGAGAAAGTGGGAAGTGCACTTGAACGCACTGGTATAGGAGACCATTTCCTAAATATAATCCCAATAGCACAGTCACTGAGAGCAACAATTAATAAATGGGACCTTCTGAAACTGAAAAGCTTCTGTAAAGCAAACAATGTGGTCAACAAGACAAAATGGCAGACTACAGATTTGGAAAAGATCTTCATCAGACCCACATTGACCAGAGGAATGATCTCCAAAATATACAAAGAACTCAAGAAATTTGACATTGAAAGAACAAATAATCTCATAAAAAATGGGGTACAGACCTAAACAGAGAATTCTCAACAGCAAAATCTCAAAGGGCTAAAAGACACTTAAGAAAATGGTCAACATCCTTAACCATCAGAGAAATGTAAATCAAAATAACGCTGATATTCCATCTTACACCTGTCAGAATGGCCAAGATCAAAAACACTGATGACAGCTTGTGCTGGAGAGGTTGTGGGGTAAGGAGAACATTCCTCCATTACTGGTGGGAGTGCAAAATTGTATAGCTGTTTGAAAATCAGTATGGAAATTTCTCCAAATATTAGGAACCAACTACCTCAAAACCCAGCAATATTACTTTTGGGTATATACACAAAAGACACTCAATCATACCAAGAGGACATATGCTCAACTATGTTCATAGTAGCATTAGTTGTAATAGCCAGAACCTGGAAACAACCTAGATGACCCTCAACTGAAGAATGGATAAAGAAAATGTGGTCCATTTACACAATAGAGAACTACACAGTAGTAAAAAAAAAAAATAATGACATCTTGAGATTTGGTGGAAAATGGATGGATTTAGAAAAAAAAACCCATGTTGACTTATGTAAACCAAACTCAGAAAGGTGAATATAGCATGCATTCACTCATAAGTGACTCTTAGACATCAAGCAAAGAAAAAGCAGACTACAGACCACAACCCCAGAGACTAGACAACAAAGAGGACCCTAAGAGAGATGCACATGGATCTACATTGGAAGCATGACAGGATCTCCTGAGTAACTTGGGAGTGTGGGGGTCCCGGCAGAGGTTAGAAAGGTAGAATAAAGGAAGAGAGAAGAGTGGAGAATAATATATAGCTCCATAAAAACAATTAAAGGAAGATCATCACCGTAAGGGAAGAGAAACCTGAATGCAGACTTTGTGAATTATGACTCAAGAAAGCAAGAAGCTTGGGAGTAAAGGGTGTGCCGAGGGCACCCTGGGCTTGCTCCTGCTCTTCCTTTATTAAGAGGACAATTCTCAAGTATTCATTCCACACATCTGTGGGAATCTCACAGTACACACCTCCTTAGAAAAGCAACCCTGGCTACCATAGCTTTCTGTTCCTTGCTCTCTGGCCCACACCTACATGGTGTGGGAGAATTATCTGTATTCTGTCAATCATATTTTAATTAAACGCTGATTGGCCAGGCAGGCAGTATAGGCAGGAAAGCCAGACAGGAAGTAGGGGTGGAGCAAAGAGACTGGGAGTATTCTGGAAGCAGAACCTCCCTTGCCACTCCTGCGCAGACCACGGAAGAGGCAACATGTAAGCTGTCACACTGAGAAAGGTAATGAGCCCATGTGGCTAACGTAGATAAGAATAATGGGGTAACATAAGTTATAAGAGCTAATAAGTAGCCTGACCTAATGAGCCAATCAGTTTATAACCTTATGGAGTCCTGTGTGTAATTTCTCTTTGGGATTTGCCGGCTGTTGGGGTACCGGGCGGGACGGAAACCCCAACAAGCCGGCCCTCATGCTACACCTACACAGGACCTGTGACCCCAAGGACAGAAAACAAGGTGACCCCAGGTTTGAGGTGATGGTTGCTGGTATCAGAATAATTAGCTTCTGAACCTATGTTGTGCCTTGCAATGAGACTAAAAAGGAAACTCACATCGCAGAAGAGCTTTTGCCCCACCTGCTGAACCCTGGTTTCTATCAGTTCTGCTTAGTCACAGCTCTCCTGAAAGTTTGCCCCGCCCACCAAGCTCCCGCCTATAAATCTTAGGGTTCAAATAATTGTCTAGGCAGAGCCCACATATTCTGCTTCCTGCACACAGTGCATCCCATAGCAGCACAGACTCGAGCCTCAGAGCTGATCATGCCGTCCTGCAAACGTCGTGCTTGGCTGATTGCTGGAGCCTGTGGGCTTCTGTTAATTGCTGTAACCTGTGCTCTTGTGTTTCTTCTCCGAGCGGATGGTGAGACTCCTTACGTGGGTGGTGGGGCCCAGAGTTGCCAATTTTGGCAGAGTCAGAGGCTGAGGGTGTGGTAGGGAAGGTGGCAAGGGAGGAGGACTAAGTAGAGATGACAAAGAGTGAAAAAGTGGCCCCTGTAGCCCAGAGAGTCAGTGATGTCTGAGGACACTCAATAGTACAGAGGGCTACTCTGACAAGCCCTGGGCCTGAAAGTCAGAGGGAAGAGTGTTGGGGACAGAGGGACAGATGGGCCATGTCCCCTTTCTGTGACTGGAGCTCTTGTTGACCCATGGGTAATAATAAAATTAATTACACATTCCTACTAGCATTGAACTCCAAATGGGTCATCCTCTCAGACAGAGAAGCATCATGGTATACTCCAAACAATTCTGGGAAATTTCCCCGGTCCTCAGTCATACAGGTCTCCAGCCCTACAAGAGTTGCCCAACTGAGAAGCCCATGTTCCCCTTCCCATTTTCTGACCTTTGGAAAAGGTACAACTTGGAGCCCGAGGCAAAGGGCATGTGCTCTGTGTCTGCCAGAAAGTCTTCCGGCTTATGAAAAGATGAGCCAGGAGGGTACTGTGCCCAGGGTCAGTGTGCAACCCTGAGGCCTCCTACTCAAAAGTGTTCAAGTCTGAGTCAAGATGACCTCCTGCCAGGCCTCCTCAATCAGATTTACCCTAAGGAGGCCATAAGGACTTCACACTGTGACTCTTGCCTGTTGTTGTCTGGGTTCTGAGATGTCACCAGGGACTCCTGGACAGGAAGATCTGCCCAACTCACTCTTGGCCTATTTGAACATTCTTCTTTGGATCCTGGGTTCAGAATCACTGATAACTATAAGAGGGCACAGAGTTGTGCACCACCCAGGCCAGGCTCATCCATGGGACATCAAGATGAGACAGGTGTGAGCTGGTGTAACGGCACACACCTGTAAATGGTGTTCTAGGTGAGGCAGAGAAGGTAGAAGGCTTTCCAGCTGCAGGCCAGCCTGGGCTACACAAGAACCTGTCTGGTGGGGTGGTAAATGTAGAAATGTTAAAACAGAATACCACAGCAATTTCAGCATCGGTAATAATCAGGAGAAGAAGGACATCTGGAAGTAAAATTGGACAGCAATGCTTGCCATAGCAAAATCAGGAATTTGTCACATAAACGGTCAAACAGCAATCCAATTAATGGTGACTTTTGGTTTTAAATATAATATAGATGACATTAGCTGAGATTTAATTACAGGGTAATTTTCTGCTATTTTTTTTACTTTTCCTGGGCCCCCCTTTTGCACATACAGCTCTTATAAAGACACAGTAACTCTTGAGAAGGCTGCACGTGTGATGAGAGATGTGTTATCCTTTCCCCACATGCCATTCAAAATCAGATTCTCTACTTACTGGGTGGTGATGATGCACACCTATAATCCCAGCACTTGGGAGGCAGAGGGACGTGAATTTCAGTGAGTTCAAGGCCAACAAGTCTATAAATCAAGTTTCAGGACAGTCAGAGCTTTCATACCAATAAACTTTGTCTAGAAAAACCAGGAAAAAAAGAGAAAAAAGAATCTCAAACTGTTTCATTTATAAAAATGTATGCATAGTTTTTATTTTCAACCTATTTGTCAAAAAAATGTCCCCTTGTGGGCTGTTTTCCTGCCTACTGACTGAAAGCACACTCACTCCAATAGGTGAGATTCTTGGGGGTGAAGCATCCTGGCTGTAGCCTGACTCTTAGCAAACCCACTTCAGCAGGTTTTGCCGGTTGCTGTAGCACTGACAGATTCTAGTGGTCCATGTCCTCAGTGATCTTTATGGACAGATATGGCATGTGACATAGTGTCCTGCAGAGAGGGTGTCACTGGAGATAGGAGTGAGTGTTCAGCACTGGAAAGATGGTGGCAAATCGGCCTTCTACCCCCTGAGAGTCGCTGCTGCCTTAGCTACTTGTGACCTCACCAAGTAGCATTGAACATGTAATCCATGTTTATCTGATGTGGATTTTTATTTTTATGGAAATATGGCAGGCCTACCAAATTCTTCCACACTGGAACATGGTGCTGTGGAGACAAGTTGCCAGAGAGGTGGGTACGTGGAAAAGGCTGAATTGAGAATAGCAAGAAAGAAATAACATACATAGTGTGAAGGTAGATGGTTGGGCAAATCCTACCTTGATATCGTGTGTCACTTACAGGTGAAGACTCAGCCCACCCCATCAGGACTACCCACACAGGACAGGTGCAGGGGAGTCTTATCCTCTTGAATGACACCAAAGAGGGTGTCTACATCTTCCTGGGAATTCCCTTTGCCAAGCCACCTCTAAGAGAACTGAGATTTGCACCTCCTGAGCCTCCTGAGCCATGGAGCGGTGTGAGGGATGGGACCACCTACCCAGCCATGTAAGTCCTCCTGAGACTCAGAAAATGTCAGGTCCTGAAATGGACAGGAGATCAGAACTCTGAGCCAGACTGCAGTGATTTCTCTATCTCCTACCCTCCATTGCACTCTCTCTGTGATGGGGATATGCTGCAGATGCCAGAGAAAGGCCAAAGTGATGATGACTCCTTATCAAAATCACCCTCCACAATCACTGTACCAACCTATAGGTGTCCAGGTACCATTGGCCAAGAGGCAGTTCCTTGAGAGTCTGGATTTGAGGTGAAGGATGTCCCACCACCCTGTTTATTAATGCAGCACATATATGGATATAGGACCCAATACCCAGACTTTGAATACTACAAAAAGAAATTGTGTCATTACACACACCAATAGTTTTGACAGAAGTTCATGGAAATATCAATATCCCATCATCAAGAAGAGTGGGATCCAAAGATCCATCTGGCAGCCTCACTAGCAGTCTGAGCTCCATACCAGTTTTCCCAAAGTCTCTGACCTTTACCTCAGTTGGAAGAGATTTTGGAGTAGGATCTCATGTTATCAGGGCATCATGGGGCCAGAAAAAGGGGTTTTGGTGGCTGAGAGCAAATATGTACTAAGAGCCTGTTTTTAATACTGCACATCTCTTAGAATAAGTGTCATTTTCCCCAGGTGTCTACAAAATTCTGATGCAGTGAATACAGAAAATCTGGCAATGATGAAACTGAGCGTGCCTTCCATCTCTATATCTGAGGACTGCCTGTATCTCAACATCTACACACCAGCTCATGCCCATGAGGGCTCCAAACTGCCTGTGAGTGGCAACCCACACTCAGATCTGGGGGTGGGCATTTCTTCGGGATGACTAAAAGGGGCAAAATCAATGTGAGACCCTGATGAGAAGCCCTCCCTGTCAGGTGTCCAGGAAGGCCTTCTCTGCCATGGCTTGCAACTAAACCCTAGGTATGGGACACAGAGATCAAAAGACTCTGGAAAGTCAGTGCTTGTGGCTCTTTGATCAACTCAGGTTTCACATTACCTACCAGAGGTTGAGAGCTAAATCCTGGGTTCTTGCAAATTTATTGGCATGGACTATTCAATATGTCAATGTTTTTTTCTTGTTTTGAGAAAGTGTCTCTCTATATAACCCTGGCTGGCCTAGAACTCACTATGTAGACAAGCCTGGCTTCGAATTCATAGAGATCTTTGGTAATTTTTTAATTGTAAATAGATACCCTCTCATATACTAATTCTTCTTTGAAAGTCTGGTATTATTCTACAATAAAAAAAACCATCTGGCCCTAGGCTTTTTTTTTTAGTTGAAAAACTTTTAATGGCTACTTCTATTTTACTGGTGGTTATAAAAATATTTAAATTGTTTATCTGATCGTGATTTAACTTTGTTAAGTGATACCTATTGAGAAAATTATCCATTTATTTTAGATTTTCTAAATGGTGGAGTACAGGTTTTGAAAGCATGTCCTCATGAGTCTCGGGATTTTCTTGGTGTCTGCTGTTATGGCCCCCTTTTCACTTTTATTGATTTGGTTATTTTGATTTTATTAATTTGGATATGATCTGTGTCTTTTAGTTAGTTTGAATAACGGTTTGTATATTTTGTTGATTTTCTCAAAAAAAAAACCCAACTCTTTGTTTTATTAATTCTTTGTACTGTTCTCTTGTTTGTATTTTATTGATTTCCGCAGATTGATTATCTCCTGCCCTCTTCTCCTCTTAGATACACTTACTTCTTTTTGTTCTAGAACTTTCGGGTGCTCTATTAAGTTGCTAGCATGAGCGATCTCCAATTTTTTTAATGTAGGCACTTAATGCTGTGAACTGACCTTTTAGCACCATCTACATTGTGTCCCATAAATTTGGGTGCACTGTGTATTCATTTTCATGAATTCTAGAAAGCCTTTAATTTCCTTCTTTATTTCTGTCTTGACCCATTTTTCATTGAGTAAAGAGTTGCTCGGTTTCTCTGTGAATTTGTAAGCTTTCTGTTGTTTCTGTTTTTCTTGATGTCCTGCTTTAGTTTGCAGGTGTCTGATAGGAAGCAGGGAATTGCCTCAATTTTTTTGTATCTGTTGTGAGTTACTTTGTGACTCAAATGTGTGGTCAATTTTGAAAAAATTTCTGTGAGGTGCAGAGAAGAAGGTAGATTCTTTTGTGTTGGGGTGGAATATTCTGTAAATATCTGTTAGATTAATTTCTCTGATAAAGTCAGTTAGCTCTAGTATTTCTCTGCTTAGTTTCTGTCTGGATGGCCTGTCCATTGGTGAGAATGGGGTACTATCAATGTGTGAGAGTAAAGATGTGATTTAAGGTCTAAAAGTGTTTCTTTTACAAAAACGGGTGCCTTTGTGTTTTGGTTCAATGTTAAGAATTGAAATGTCATCTTGGTGTATTTTTTTTCTTGTGGTTATCCTTCCCCACACTTTTGGTTAATTTTATTAGATATTAAAATGCCTACACCAGATTGCTTCTTAGGGTTTTTGCTTAGAATATCTTTTTCCAACACTTACCATGAGCTAATGTCTACCCCTGATATTGAAGTGTATTTCTTGTATGCAGCAGAAGGATCGATCCTGTGTTCATAACCATCTGTTAATCTGTGTCTTTTTATTGGAGAATTGAGTCATTGATACTGAGAGATATTAGTGATCAATGATTGTTGATTCCTGTTATTTTGCTGTTATTATTGTTGGTGGTGGTGTGTATGTGCTTCCATTCTTTGGGTTTTGATGGTGTAAGATTATTTATTTTTTATGTTTTTATGTGTGTAATTAACTTTGGTTTAGAGTTTTCCTTCTAGTACCTCCTTTAGGGCTGATATGTATCTAGATATTGTTTAAATTTGATTTTATCATGGAATGTCTTAAGGTGATTGAAAGTTTTGCTGGGTATAGTAATCTTAGCTGGCACCTGTGGTCTCTTAGAGTCCCCAGCACATCTGTTCAAGATCTCCTGTCTTTTAGAGTCTCCATTGAGAAGTCAGGTATAAGTCTAATAGGTCTGCCTTATATGATAGCTGATCTTTCTCCCTTGAAGCTTTTAATATTCTTTCTGTGTACTGTATGTTTAGTGTTTAGATTATTATGTGCTGAGCAGAATGTTCCGGTCCAAACTCTTTGGTGTTCTATATGCTTCTTGTAACTATATAGGCATTTCCTTCTTTAAGTTAGGAAAATTTTCTTCCATGGTTTTGTTGAAGATATTTTCTAAGCTTTTGAACTATTTTGTATTCTTCTCCTTCCTCTATTCCTATCATTCATAGATTTGTTCTTTTCATAGTGTCCCAAATTTCTTGGATGTTTTGTGTCAGGAATTTTTCAGATTTAACATTTCCTTTGACCAATGTATTCATTTCTTCTATTGTATCTTCAAAGTCTGAGATTCTCTCTTCCTATCTTTTATATTCTGTTGGTAAAGTTTGCCTCTGAAGTTCCTGCTCATATTCCTAAACTTTTTATTTCCAGGATTCCCTCAGTTTGTGCTTTCTTTATTGTTTCTATAACCATTCCCATGTCCTGAATAGTTTTATTTCTTTTCTTCTATTGTCTTATTTTCTTCACTTTCTTTAAGGCATTTATTCATTTGCTCTCTCAGGACCTCGTTCATCTTCATATTAAGGTCTTTTATCAGCTGTGTTGGAATATTTAGAACCTGCTGTGGTAAGATAGTGGGAGATGCATTTCCCTGGATGTTATTTATTGTGTGCTTATGCTGGCTTCTAGGTATCTGGGTTTGGGGTGGTTACAGGTCTAGGTGTTGATTTCCGGGTTTCTCTTTGTTTGTTGGGTGTTTTGTCACTTAATTTCTCTTTCCTCTCTGGATTTTTAGAAAGTGTGCTGCCTGCTCAGCCAGTGTGTTCACTGGGAATGTTGGGAAGAGATGATCTGTTGCTGGGCTGGGGGTGACCCTGAGAATTGGGTCTGGGGGAACAGAGAGTGGGGAAGGTCCACAGCAGCCTATCTGGATTCAAGCTCTGGTATTAAGAGTGTACATCACCATGATGGAATGGTGCGGATGATTTTTGTTAATAATCAGGAGAATCAATGGTGAATATACCCGTTTTCATTCCATTTCATAGGCGTCTGAGAGTAGGGGATGTTATTACTCCAGATTTAGAGCCATTAATTCAGGCTTGGGACCTTAGAGAAGCAGAGAGATTAGCAAGTATCCTGATGGTACTAGAGCCCTGCCTGTGGTCCAGGTGAGGATGTCCTGAAGAGTTTTGTCTGTGTCTAAGTACACTGAGACAAAAAAAATTAGGTAAAGGAGAAGACACCCAGGTGGAGCTTGAGCTGTGTGGGAACCTTCTGGCATCTAACTTGATTTTCACAGGTAATGGTGTGGATCCATGGTGGTGGACTGTCTACAGGTATGGCTTCCATGTATGATGGATCCATGCTGACAGCCAAGGAGGATGTGGTGGTGGTCACTATCCAGTACCGCCTGGGTCTCCTGGGCTTCTTCAGGTGAGTCTGGGGCTGGCCTACACTGTGCAGTAGCGGATGAAGAGAAGTAGGACAGCCCTGTGATTCCTTCTATGTGTCTTCACAGCACTGGAGATGAGCACGCCACGGGCAACTGGGGCTACCTGGACCAAGTGGCTGCCCTGCGCTGGGTCCAGCAGAACATTGCCTACTTTGGAGGCAACCCTGACCTTGCCACCATCTTTGGGGAGTCAGCAGGTGGCACAAGTGTGTCTTCACAAGTTGTGTCCCCCATGTCAAAGGGACTCTTCCACAGAGCCATCATGGAGAGTGGGGTGGCCCTGATGCCTGACATGATCTCTAACACCTCTGAGGCGGTCTACTCAGTGAGTGATTTCAGCCATTGATGACCCTATAGCCTTAGCCTTCACCCTCTGTTACTCTGGGAGTTTTCTCAATTGAAAAACAAGGAGCAGGGGAAATAGCTTCTCTCCGTAGTCTCTGAAAGATTCGAGGGTTAGAGTCCACTTCTTTCTATACAAGCGGGGTATAAGAACCATATATAAGTACCTTGTAGTGTCCATCATATTCAGAAACAAATACGTATGGGATGAAGATGTGGCTCAATAGGTAAAAACATAGGGACCGGAGCTCAAATTCCCCCAGAAACCACAAAAAGCTGCGTGCGGTAACAAGTGTGTGATTCTGGTATTCATAGGATGAGATAGGAGGCAGAGATGAGAAAATCCCTGAAAGGTCACAAATAAGATAGACTCTTGTAGAAAGGAAGAAATAATAAAAGATCATCTCTCAACCAAGATGGGAAGTGAGGACTGGCAACCAAACGTTGTCCTCGAATCTTCGCACGGAAACCATGGTACAGGCACTCCTGAGGTCACACACACTCGTGGTCAAACACACACAGCTGATTTTTTAATGCTTTTAGGTAGAAACACCCCTCTGGCTGTCACATCTGAGCAACACGAAAATGGGAATTCAATACTCACTCCATTACACCAGCACAATGTGTGATGTGATATTTGGGCACAATGTCAACCAACTTAGATTGGGAAAACTTTTCTACTTGACTGAAAAGATGAATCAACTCCTGCCTGATCCCTTTACAGAAAGTGGCCAGCTTATCTGGTTGTGAGACTACGGATTCAGAGACCCTGGTGCGCTGTCTGAGAAACAAGAGTGCAGAGGAGATTCTGGATATTAACAAGGTTGGGAGAGTTGTGTGACTTGGAGGACCTGGTCAGTGGGATGTGGGAGAGTCAGTTCTTACTACTCTAAACAAATTACCTCTACTTCACAGTTTGGCAACCTCCTAATCACGTGTGTAAAATGAATACCAAATATCCTAATATATGTGGAATCTCTATGAGGGGTGGAGAAACATCCCGAGACAATTAATTGGGGGCAGCATTTCTCAGTGGAAATCAGAACTGACCTTCATTACAGACTTTGGATGTCCCTCAGGTCATCACTATCCGTGCTGTGACAGATGGGAAATTCCTACCCAGGCATCCCCAAGAGTTGTTGACTTCTGTGGATTTTCACCCTGTCCCCAGCATCATTGGTGTCAACAATGATGAGTATGGCTGGCTTCTCCCTATGGTGAGGCACAGTTCCAATTCTCTGGAAGTCTGGGGACTCATAAGGTGAGCAGAGGAAACTTAATCCATATCCAGCTGATCTTATAGGAAAACTGTCCTCTCTCGGCCAGGCCCAAAGCTCTGATCAAATAATAAAGGATATAACCAGAGAGACCCTGCCAGCTATTCTGAAGAACACAACAATATACATGGTAAGCCACCTTGAATACTGCCTCCAATAGAAAGAGCCACTATGTGTCCTTCCAGACAACATGCCTGCAAACAAAGACCTGTGTGTGTGGTTTGTGGAGGGCTCGCCCAGAACTTATACCTTTCCCTCTACACCATATCTTATCCCTGGCCACATTCTCCACACTGAGGCTGCTGCCTATCTAAACAAGAACCTGCCTAACCTCATTCTTCCTGATTCCCTGGTGTAGACGATACCTCCCGAGTGTAGTGACCTGCTAATGGAAGAGTATATGAACAACACTGAAGATGCCCAGACCCTCCAAATACAGTACAAGGAAATGATAGCGGATTTCTTGTTTGTGATTCCTGCACTCCAAATAGCAAAGTTTCAACGTGAGTACATCTGTGATGAGGCCTAGTTGGGAGGAGCTCAGAGTCATGGGTCCCAGATGAGCTTAATAGCGTCCAGGTCCCTGCTCATGTCTGGATCACATCTCTGGTACCAAACTCCTGGGAACCATAACAACAGTATTTCTTCATCATAGTGTAAGAGAGTGGAATGACATATTATCCAGATACAAACAAAGAAACAGGTTGCTATACTTCATTGATTTGCCAAACCTACTCAGCTGGGAAGGCCAGGGTTACTGTTTAGCCAAAGGCATTCACATAACTAGTGTTCCAGCTTGGGGCCACCAACTAGTCAGGTATAACACCAGATAACTGTATACCGACATAAATTATCAATAATGGTTAGGCAAGAAAGTTACAGGTGAGAGAATACTATGTAACCATGTGTCCGTACCGCTAGGCTCCCATGCTTCTGTCTACTTTTATGAATTCCGTCATGTGCCCAGCTACCTCAAAGATACAAGGCCATCGTATGTGAAAGCTGACCATGCCGATGAGATTGCCTTTGTTTTTGGGTCCTCCCGCTGGGGCATAATACGTGAGTCTTTCTTGTGTTTCATGAGCTGGATGGGGTCACAGGTGGGAACCTGATGGGTAACTGAGCTCTTGGTCCAGTTGAGAAAATCAAGGCTCTGGGAGAGGACATAATCAAATAAGCACCTTTTCCAACCTCAAAATGTTATACCCAGATTAGAATTCAGACCCTTCCAAATATAATCTATTGTCTTAGTTACATTTATATTACTGCAGTGAGATACTATGACCAAGTCAGCTTATAGAAGAAAGAATTTATTGGGACTTACAGTTTCAAAGGTTAGTTAGAGTCTATGACCATCAGGGATGGGAGAATAGCAGCATGAAGGCAGGCAAGGCACTGGAACAGTAGCTAACTAAAGCTTACATTCTGATCTACAAACACAAGGCAGAGAAAAAAAGAAAAAAGAAAGGAAGGAAGGAAGGAGGGAGGGAGGGAAGGAAGGAAGGAAGGAAGGAAGGAAGGAAGGAAGGAAGGAAGGAAGGAAGGAAGGAAGGAAGACAGAGAACTGAACTAGAATAGATTTTAAATCTCAAAGTCAACTTTCAATGTTACACCTCCTCCAATAAGGCCATACTCCTAATTCTTCCCAAACAGTTCCACTAACTGGGGACCACACATTCAAATATATGAGTCTATAGGAGTCATATCATCTGAGCACACTTATGTTAGATGATATGAGGACACACTGAGCAGAACTGAACCTGGAGGCATTCAATTAGAGGTGTGGGTGGCTCTTGGATCCTTGGTGGTGAAGTGGGGAGTGAAAGAGGCCTAGAGTTCAAGGTCAGGCTACAGGAAGGATGGTGATGGAGGAGTATGAATAGGCAGCTGCATGGTGTGGCTGGGACCTGAACCTCTGTCTTCCCCATGACTACAGCTGACTTCACTGAGGAAGAGAAGCTGCTGAGCAGGACAATGATGAAGTACTGGACCAACTTTGCACGACATGGGTGAGAACACACCCCTCCCTCAACCTCCTCAGTGGTGGGTCCCTATCTAGGGCTCCATTGGTGGTTGATGACCTCATTAGCATGCATGGATAACTCATCACATGATCAAGTACTCCTCACCCCAGGGCACACTTAGGTACATTGTACATATTGGTTACTGGTCACACTGCAATGACCTGACAGGAGCTATGGTGTTGTTCTTTAGATTTTGCCTTTGAAAGGGAGACCGAAATTGTCCAGGTAGTCTTGCCCTACATGGAGCAGATGCTAGCAGGTGACACTTGGATCCCTGTTAGGACACGTGCCCCATCAGCCCTCTCACCTATTGGCCCAATTAGTCCACTGCTCTGACACAAATTGTGGGATCACAAAATGAATGAGCATGACCTCACCCTTCCCCGCTGGCTGGCGTATCCACAGGAACCCCAACAGCGAGGGTCTTCCCGACTGGCCCGTGATGGACAATAATGAGCAGTACCTGCAGCTGGATGTCCAACCTGCTGTGGGTCGAGCCCTGAAGGCCAGAAGGGTGCAGTTCTGGACCCAGACTCTGCCCCAGAAGATCCAGGAGCTAAAGGGGGCTCAGGATAATTACAAAGAGAAGTACCCTGTGAGAGGAATGGTGTGAAGGGCTGAGTATACACGGGGTCAGCCTAACATTCTTAGAGAATCCCGGTTAGAGGCTAACAGTTACATCACCATCCCTCACCGCTACAATTGTTCATTTGGTCTGCATGTACGACAGACCCTTGGTGTGTCACTCATTCCTCAACATGCTGGGACACCTTTTATGAGACTCACTCCATGAATGCTCCCATGACTGTAGATATGTGACCCCTAAGTGCCCCAATCTTCTTTCACTGTACCCTGGGACAACGGCCTTTCCTTCCTTTCTTCGTCTGCTCTCATCTTCTCTCCTCTTCTCCAAGCCCCAGACAGTCTTCAGATGAAACAGAAGCTTTGGAAATATTTAATATATGGGAGTAGACTGTCAAAATCCTATGTTCTCTCAGCAAGTCTCATGTCTTCTTATTTGTAAGTAGACAATAAAGAAACCTAATAGCCAGAGTCCTACCTATTGTTTTCATGTGTTCAATCAGGTTGTTGTTCCAAAAATTTACAAATTGCAAGCTGAGCTCTGTAATGGGTATCTGTGGGTCCTGCTATTCAGAGACCTAGGCAGAAAGGGTATATGATTTCTGTAGTTTCGGGTCAGCCTGAACAACATAGTAAGACCAACATCTCTTAACAAATTATAATCTGGACAACATACAAATAGCAAAAAAAATTATACATGTTTATAAACCAAGAAATCCATAGTCAAATGCCATCAGATTTCCTGTGTGGTGAGAGTTAGGCCTCTAGTTCAAAAGATTTCACATTGCATCCTCATTGGATAAAATGAGAAAACAATGACACTCTTGGATCTTCCCAGAGTCATAACTCTTAATAACATTGGATCAGAAGTTAGATTTCAGCAAATAAATTTGATTCCATGGCTTTCAGACCATAGCTCATAAAGGTCTCTTTCATCAATCAAAAAGAATGAGAACTGATGAGAAAAAATACCTAGATATGTTCCCTGTATATGAAATTTTACAAATGCCTGCAGAAGCAGAACTAGATATGTTCATGGGATTTTCAATCTGGGTCAGGAGTTAGGGAGTTGGTCAGAACTTCATGGGTTTCTCAGTGCCCATTTTCTGAAGTTTGCTCTTTGGATCAGGAGTTCTGCAGACAGTATGGAGCCCACCCTTGCTTGAGGCATTTCACCTCTGTGAAAATGTTTGTCCATTGGTTGTGTCCTGAAAATAGGGTGGCATCAGAAGAGACTCTTGTCCCTGGCACCCTGAGCAAGCTTCTCCTTGTATGGAGTTGTCTCCCTGCCCTCATGGATCCTCCAGAAGCCTCTTGACTTCCTGGTCATTCCTTAATCTTCTTGATAGTCCGTGTGATTGATTTCCTTAAATGTTTTATCCCCAGCATACAAAGTTTCTTGCACTTTGGCCTTTAAAAAGGTGTCATATTCTGCTCTGTCTGTACTTTTGCTCCCCCAAAACACTTTCTCTGCCATTAAGGAGTGGTGAGTGCCTTGTGTCCTTCAGGCCCTAGGACCTCCCCATTCCTCTACCTCTCACCATCTTGCCCTACCTGGGCCATTTTTCCAGAGCAAAGTCCCCTTTCCCAGCCACTGCACTGAGTACAGATCATAATGCACCATGACCTTTGGGTTGAAAACAAAGATTTCTTGTTGCCTACTCGGGAAATAAATGAGGCTGATATTGAGCCTTGATTAAGAAACTGAGCAGAGGGATGTTCTCATCCAGGGTCTTAATGCATTGTTGAGCTCCTGGTGAGACCAGTAGTTGGCTGCACCTCACCAGGCAGTCAGGTTGGGGCTTCAACCCTGAAAGCTTTCATTGCTGTAAGCTTGGTGACTGCTGACAACCACTTGCCCAGCGCAGCTGAAGACTCTCCTGACTCCTGGAAGTAAAATCAGAGGCAGACAACCAACAGTGTGCTGACTGGCAGCCCATGCTTCTGCACCCACAGTCCCCTCCTCTTTGCAAAGCCCTTTTATCCCCTAAGCAAAAGTAGGAGAGTGTAAAGCAATCTTTGGGTCCCTCTGTGGGTGGGATCCTGGTGACCGTTGATCTTGTTCAGAGTCATCCTGTCTTTGCACCCCCATTCACTCTCAGGCGCTCCCCTTTCCCTGAGAAAAAACTCTGTAACTTTCATGCTCACTCGGTGTCTGTGGTCTCCATTTGTCACATCTGTGAGATGTGAACCAGCACTGGCTTCTGGAATCGGGAACTCGTGTGACTGTTCAGCACCTTTGCCCCAGTACCAAGCCTTCAAGTGTTTTGAGGAGACTCAGTTGCAGGGACGGTCAGCACTGTGTCTCACTACTGTAAACCCTCTCTCATGTGGCTCTCATTTCTCTGAATACACAGGACAGTTCGCCAACAGCAATCCCGGGGTACTCTTTAGACTTTCAGTAGTTACTATGGGCTAGTGACCCACAAGCTCATGTTTTGAGTGCTTGGCCATAGCTAGAAGACTATTTTGAAGGCTGTGGGTCCTTTAGGAGATAGGGATAACTGGAAGAATTACTAGGGGCAGGTGTGCACCTGTATTTCATTGCAGATATTTCCTGAACCTTTATTATTCGTATCATTATTGTTGTCATTATTATTACTGCTATGGTTTGCTCATTTGGATGTTGTTGTTGGACACACAATCTTCCTGTATAACCTATGTTGTAATCAAACTCAGGACTCACCTGCCTCAACCTCCTAGGCTATGAGATTACTTAGTCAACAAATCTGCTCTCACTAGACTTCTATTTTTCATTTTATTCTC